TCATTAGACCAATCCTTGAATACGGCGCTTCAGCTCAGCATCCGATAACCCAGTGGGAAACGGAAAAGGGGGAGGAAATACAGCACATCGCAAGTAGAATGATACAAAGTCTACGAAGCTTCCATATGAAAAACGTTGTGAAAGTCCCGGACTCTACACACTATTCTACCGCCGAGTAAGCATTGACTTCATTATGACCCATCGAGTACTACAATTGAATCACATCCAAATACTGCGACCAATACTTCACCTGCGATAACCTTCTAGCAACCGAGGACACCATTACAAACTCAGGGTCCCCTGCACGAACAAGGTATCACATCAACATTGTATAGAACGAAGAATCGTAAACTTATGGAATACACTACCAGAGGGACTAATGGAGGCCGACTCTGTGAAGTGTTTTAAAACACGTATCGACGATTATTTCGGAAATCTGTGGTTTTGTGAAACGGTGCACATACAATGCAAAAATATACATCCTATACCTGGAAATGACACCAATACGAATTCCTAACCGAACAAGAATAAACGAGGAACTGACCAAACACTACCGCTGACGATACGCGATTAAGTGTTCAAGATTTTTCACAATGCGATAGAGTTGTACAGAAATCTTTCTACTTGCTCTTAAACACAGTCTCATAGTGATCAGTAAACGAGAGAGAAGTGCATGTAAGCATCGAGTAAAGAAACAAGAATAAACTTCAAACGAGTGCGCAGGTAGATCACAGTTACACTATCGGGTGGGTAAATGCAGGGGATCCATCGCGAAGAGACTGGACATTAACGTGGTGCGATGGTTTGATTGACACTGAGATCCATTGGACTATGTTGGGTGGCGCACCTTCAGAGCCACCCGTACCAGATCGGGTAATGGTTAGAGGCCTGACAGACTTAGTCACCTCGCCCCTAGGTTGGGGGTTGGAGTGAAGGTGGCTCCTTACTTCATAAACAGCCAGTTAGTAGCCCAGTGCCAAAATCCCATTGCCTTACGGTAAGGCTTCTGAAACAAAGGTTTTGGTTAAGAACCCCACTCGCTCTCCTGTCTAGGGTTGAGCAACCTGACAGTATTCTGCTAACGCAAAACAATGAATTTTCTTTCAAACAATTTCGTCGCAGAGGATAATAAACGGCGCCCTATCTGCTGCACTGAGCAGAGTGGATAGGGGTATGGATGCTGCTACTCAAGCCTCTCCGTCTTCTTATTGCCAATCTTGCGTTTTATCATTTTTATCCTCCCGTTCTAACTTCACATTTTCCCCCTTGTTTTCAACCCCAAATTCATAGTCCATCCCTACCTTGGTTAGTAACCGTTTATTTTCTAGTTTCGACTCACACGCAATCGAAGGACGTCGCTCCGTTTCAGTCGACAAGTCCATGTCCAGCCAAACAGAAAACGTCAGTTCATCTGCTTCTATTTGAAGCCCTCGATCCTCGTTAAGACAGGTATGCCTCAGCGTGGGAGTTTGTAGCAGATTGGGCAACAGGCAGCACTTTCCCGGACACTGGAGAACCTATCAATCGATATCTGCTGCTAATCAGAAGCTCGCTTGCAGAATTCCAGTTATGTAATCACCCTGCGGTCCCAACGTGCGACACTGGCGGTATTTTCTTACTGCGCTTGTTGGGAGATGACGCAGCCTCAAATGCCGATCAAGCCGGTGTTGGCATTGCTCTTAACCCCCGGGCTGAATCTGCTCTGATCGACTGGATCCCAATAAACAGCCGGATGTGCGCCGTTAGACTGGCTGGCTCATTCAGAACCTCGAAGTAGCCTGGAGACAACCGGTGCTTGCTTGTCATTACGGCCAATGCCCCACAAATTGTTGCGCTGACTTGGTAAAAGATGACTCCTATCACGCATTAAACGCACACCGTTCCAGAAAAATTACGGCTATTGTGGAGCTAGGTGCTGATTTAAACGCTCAAGTCGGAAAGCTGTCCTATGATGATCTTCACTGGTCGGCCAACAGGGTGTAGGCTACCATAATGATAATGGTGATCTGTTGCGACACATGGGTGAAGATGCTCATCTGTTTCTCGAGAGTACTAACGTCCGATGCAGCACCAGCAGAAGCGTGACATGGCGCCCATGAGCGTCGGACCAACCGTGGAAGCAAATCTATCACATCGCGATCAGTTACCGTTGGAGAGCCTATATTTCAGAACTGTCTCTAGAGTTGGAGCACCAGCGTAGACTCACACCACGCATTGTTTGCGCCGACCTTCGGAGAACGGCCGCAATGGCGTTGTGAGCGCAAAGATAATTGACAAGTGTCGAAAGTAGGTGTTTTGAATGCATATAAAAGTACACTGGCATCCGAGCTGGGTAAGCGATCACTGATCATTGGTCGCATATTCGCCAAACGTCACTGTCAGCAGACATGTCTTCATGTGGCAAATCAAATCGCCAACCCGGACATTGGGTCTCTACACAGTCTCTGGAAGTGGGTGCTCGCCGACGTATTCCGGCTGGAAGGAAATACAATGAGACTCGCTAAGCTCTCAGGGGGAAACTAAGTGATGGCCTGAAGAGAGACTGCGAAGCGTGGTGATCTCATCGTGCCTCGGAGATGGAAATAGCCCCTGGCCTTGGTAATCATTGGAAGTTATTCCGTCTGATACGAGATACGGGCAGCAGGAGACCTGGAGTTAGCGAGACCATAAGCGACAAGAGTGGACAATCGATCCACAACTTGTCAAAGCGCTTGGAGCGTTGAGCTGAACACTTTGGGAAACAGTTCAATCAGTCAGAGTTACCAGCTTATCCGTCAGCCAATGATCGTCCAACTCCCGGGTTGTCACCTTGGATCCGCCAACACGTGCGGAAATCGAACGTGAGATCAGACGGTTGAAATTGAACAAGGTCGCTGGAACAGATGAACTCCATCCAGCCCACTTCAAATTGGCGGGCTTGTTCGATTAGACGATTTACATAACTTACTAGTGAATCTATAGAAGCAAGAGACTATCCCAACAGAATGGAACCATTCTGTTATAGTCCCAATTTTTAAGGTAGGTTCCCGTTCGGAACGTGGCAACCATAGAGGAATCAGTCTGATCTCAATTGTCTTTACCTCTGTCGTCCACCACAGACTAACTGGCACTCGTGAAAGCCAGATGCGCGAGGAGTAAGCAGGGTTTCGTCGAAACCTAGGATGCATTGAACACATCTTCCCATTAGGTCAAATTCTGGAACACCGCCACGTTTATTGGCAACCCACCGAAGTCGTGTTCCTAGATATCAAATGAGGCTTCCGATTCGGTTGGTCGATGTGCTTCTTGGGAGTTTCTGCACAAAAAGGTGTACCCGAAAATTACGTGAACATTATCATAGCGCTGTACGTGCATAGTTCGAGCAGAGTGAAGGTTTACGGTAAACTTGCGCCTTCCTTCAATATCTCTAACGGTGTGAAAAAGGTTGCCCGCTGTCACCTTTCCTCTGAAACCTTACCATTTAAGAAGTCATGGAAACGGCGTTTGCCAGGCACAAATTACAAGGTGTGGAGCTGCTTCTAGGTGACCGACTTCTTGACATGGAGTATGCCTACGACATTGCGCTCATCTGTGACAACTCACCAACGTGCCAAGCTGCACTAAATAAGTTAGCTCTGGCTTTCAGTTGTTTCGGGCTATGCTTCGCGCCGTCGAAATGCAAAGACCTCTAAGATTGGTAGGGGTTCACTCCTGCGTTGACCTCTGGTGGTGACCAGCTAGAAGTCGTCCAGAAATCTAAGTATCTGGGCAGCTACATTAGCACTTGTGGGATCGAAGATGAAGTCACGAACCGTATAGTAAAAGCTCGGGGTGCTTCGCCAATCTTCACCACCTGTGGCATCAGCGTGACATCATTCTCGCTCTGAAGGGCAGAGTTTACGTTCAACCCTCCTATACGGTTGCGAAACCTAGACCATCGGATCAGCCCACCTAAAGAGGCGAGTTACATTTCGCAGCATAGCTCATGTCTTGTGCGAACACTGCGTGATCAATGAGCGTGTTCAGCTTCGTGCATTTGGTGCAGGAGGAGCTAGTGAACAGCTCAGCACCATTACATCACGCACCAGACTCGGATGGCTGGGCCACGTGTTGCGCATGCTAGCACACCGACTCCCGCATCCTGGGTTGAGGAATGGAATCCCTCACTTCGAGGTTGACGTCGGTTGGTGCATCCCGAATGCCGGGCTGGTGTCCGAAGGACGATGAACACGTTTGGTTGGATACACTTGCTGATATGGCCAGGAGCTGACCTTAATAGCGTTTGTATTCTGAGTCTCTGTTCCTCCCCTACCTTTAAGCTTCCCCTCCAACAGCGATCGCAATCCAATGCATATGTGATTTTAGTAGTGTTACCTTTTTAGCATTCGTAATCTGGAATGATTAATTTCTTACATATTTTTGTATAGTGTGTTTCTAACCCTCGGCTAACACATATTGATGATGAAAGGCAGGGGATAGCCCCGAATTATCAGCAGATTACTCACGTACAAATTCGCCTTAGTTAGATTGGACCACCGTGAACACAGCAGCAGAGTAGAGTACACCTCGCCACATTAACTCGCGTCGATCATAAAAACAAGTTAAATTGAAAGAGGCTACGACTGCGATTGCGCGTCGCAATCCAAGACACACGGCGGGTGGTCCAAAACCCGACAATCAATATGTGAGCATATTCAAAATAAGTAAATCAAATGAAAAGAACTCTCTGGAGTGGTGCTTCGACGAAATGATAGCTGGAGGAGAACGAAGGACGCGAGTAAACGTGTATTGAACGTCAAAGCGCATCATATTTACATGTCTGGCAAAGGTGTGATAGAAAATAAGATAACGTAAGATACTTGATAAATGAGGAAATACGCTTAATCCATGGCTGAAACAGCGCTGCTAGATTGTCGGTCGACGCGACCCCGCATTATCTTCAACACAGTGGATGAGACCGCAACTCATCAAGAGCTATTCTGTATGGATAACGAAATGTGTGAACTGAGTACGCTTACTTGCTATTTGCGTCGTTGGATCGGATGGGCGGAGGTGGACGAAATGTACTGTTAGATAAAATGAGTTGAAAACGCTAGGGAAAACCTACTTGAGTCGAAGACTTCATGGCGAGGCTGCTGGTGATTGGGGTATTCGGCCGTAGGGATGGAGTAGGGACCTATGAGAAAACGGAAAAAGGTAGGAAGTGAAACCGTCATCAGTGGAGAGTGGGTCAGGTTAGTCGACCACTAGCAAGATATCAAATCGTGTTGGACTAAGTTGCTTTGTAGACGCTACTAGATTATTCGTAAGGAAAAGGAGGTTCAGTCCGGTTCAGTGGATAATATGTTATCCCAGGACAAATGTGAAGAAAAACAAAAGGCCGGATAAAAATGAAGAAAGTATGATCAAAATAAAGAGGCAAAAATGATTAGAGGGACGCAGAAAAATTATAATTTGAGATGGACAACTCTATCACACAGGGAGATGGAAAGTAATGGATAAAAGAGGGCTAACGAGCGACGTGTGCAACAACGAGGCTCTCATTCAGGAAGAGGACTTGTATCAGACCGACCGACATCTAAGGCTTTTCTTCACACCTACTTACCACGTCGAGCAACCATTGTTAGATGTGTGGCTGCACAAAATGGTCTAATGTCGATAAATACTAACGGGGCGCACCTCAACGGTTCTTACTGAGTAGCCATTGGTGGAAAGATAACTGATCCGTTGACATCTACACTATACTGTCATGATTATTTCTAAGCAATACGATAACTATGGAGGCGATAGCGTGTGGTGCATTTCTCTCCTGACCGGCAGATTGAACTCAGGCCGCTCTACAGACGAGTAAGGCCGGGAAATACCATGATATGCAGAAAACAGTCTACTGATATTACGCGGCCATCGCGTTGTAACGTTGCGTGGGCGATTCCGGTACAATGAGTACCTGTCTAGTTATAATGCAGTCGGAACGCAATGGTAGTGGATGGACTCGCGGTGAGGAGGGAAGACGACCTGAGGATATCCAAAGAACGACATCAGCGCAGCCCCAGTGATGATGAAAGCTGACTTCGTGGCCTACGAGGGCTGACATGATAGTTGTTATGACGGCTAACTCAATAGGTAAATTCTACGTTAATCCGAACAATATATGTGCCAAAGTCAAAATTATAGCCAATCAAAGCAGCCAAAAATGGCAAGGAGATCATCGTCAGCTTAGGATGGAATGCCGTAATGGTGGACAACTCATCTAACGGAGTCATAAGGATGAAAACAATATAAATATACATACCTAAAAGTAACTCACATAATGGTTAGATGTCAAAAGCGATCGTAGGGTACTGAGTGGATCCGGTTGGGCCACTGGTGGAACAGAAGAAGAGCTTCTTGGCAGTGGTTCCTTACCCACAGTTTCAGCGGCTTGAAGGTAGGGGGTTGTCTAATGAAAAGCGGGGGGGGGGATGAAATCATGCGACTGACCAAGTGGGACTTACCTGACGAGCGGATAACGAATGCAAAAGGGATCGCAGTGTGCTGTTTGGGGCTGAGGCTTCGGTTATGGAGTCAGAGGCTCGAGACTCGGTAATTGAAGGAACGAGCTAGGTGTGGGGAAAAAAACAAGAAATTTAGCATGCAGTGTTTCAGAAGCGGGCGGTGAATTATATGTGAGAAGGAATGGGAGAAAACAGTGAAGCATAAACAAATGGAGTGTCATAGGTGAGTTAGTGAGCCATAATTATGATTGTTGTAGACAACAGCCGCTGAAAAGGCATGGTGCATTAAGCATAGATGATAAATGAAAGCGAGTGACATGTAAGGTGGTATATGGAAAACCGAAGAAGCCAAATGGGGAAACGTATTTCACTATTACAGGGTGAAAGTGCAACTTGTGGGTAATGATAATCGATAAACGATCAAATGCGGTAATCAGAACAGACAATAAATAAGACCAAGCAGACAGATAACTACAGAGTGAATAATGTGAGGTCAAGGAAGACGCGCCCGTTTAAAGGTCAATAGATTCGGAACATTCACAGAGAACCGTGAGCCGCAGTGAGGAGGCATCGGTGGATACCAAAAATTCATCACGAAACATCCACAACAATAAAAAAGAAACATGAACTTATGTAGGAAAAAACTAGTTAGTTTGGAAGCAGCCGCGATCCACTTGGAAGTAGGTTTGAAGTCGTAGACAAAAACCGGCCTCGCTTTTTGCCATACGCAACAATTCAGGTAGACACAAGACGTCAACTAAAGAACGTTGGTCAATAAGTATAACATTATCAAGGTGGAATGCATGTAGAAAAGTCGCTGATTTTAAGCTGGCATAATAAGTAATCCAACAGAATTCCATTCACACTAAGCAGGCCTGTGACTTGAAATCGGGACCTACGGAATTTAGCCAAAGCACTAAGCCACAATGGTTGCTATCTGGTTGGAGGGGTTTAAAAGCATTGATAAATTTGCACATGTGTTCAAGTTGTGGTCATCAAGTGCATCGCGTAAACGCTCGAGATCCTAATTCCGGTCAGAGAGAACACCGTAATCAGGACAACTAGACGCAATTCCAAGAAGACAGGTGATTCCAACGTGAAGCGTGCAGATACCGATGGGATGTGTAACAGCCAGCAGTGAAGGCAAGCTTTGTAGCGCAACTTCGTGCAACGATCTGCGTGCTGCACACAAAGGATAATACGAAGCGATTGTATATATAAATAACACTTAAGGTTCCGTCCATTAACAAAGGGAAAGTGTGCACACTCAGTTAAAACTGTGTGGACGTGACAGAAAAAACCGGGATCACTGCGCACTGGGAGGTCGGCGCTTTGGTGTAATTGTGCTAAAGGTGACATTCTAATGAATTGGCATACCGGTGGATTGTAACAAGCTCGTGGGGAACTGAAACACTAACCGAAAATTAGAGAGATATTCTGGTATGAGTCTGTATTGGAACTAAATGCTTTACCGCTAAAATAAAGAGTCGAGAAAGCGAGTCAGCCAAAAAACCGTGACAACTACAGGGAGAATATGATAGGAGGATCTAAGAGAGATAAATCGATTTGGATAACCCAACAAGAGCGTTAGAGTCTATTGTGAAGGCAAATGCTTACTCCGGAGAAGCCAGATGGGTTGTACTGAGGGTGCTTATATGATGCAGTCTCCCTTCGAGCGGTAGGATTTTGAGGCTGTTTACTGAATGCACCGCCGATGTCCACTCCAGGTATCTGAATGAAGCTGTCAGATGCGACGAAAACGACTCACATTTTTCACATGCACAAGAGCTGAGTCCAGAGGACAACGAGGACAGGTTCCGCACACTCCTGCTCTACCCGCACACTTGGAATGCGCACGCCAGGAACATAAGCGGCAAACAAACATATCACGATAGGCGAGTGAGAAACAAAACGTGCAGACAACATCGCGTACAGCGTCAGATAGTTTGGAACCTCCTAACCGCAGGGCATCAGAGGCAGATTTGTGCTGTGAGTAGAAGCGTTTAATTAGCGAGTCCAGCTGCGATATTAGGCGTTCAGGATCGCGTCGTTCGTATCCTGCTTCGAACAAACGAAATCGAGCAAGGACCGTTGGCAATGGATCAGATGTGCAATGGTGTGCCAATTCTGGAGTTAAAAAGTCCGAGGATGGAGAAGTCGACGACGACACAACGCACCGTCTCCGCGTTTTGTGATCTTTGGTGACTACAAAAACAATAGAATGGATGAAAATTTGACTCCGGTTAAAAAAGTTGACTAACTAAAGAATAATATAGGTTTTCATAAGAGTGACTGTAGTAATTCATTGAAAGCAATAGATGACAATTAAAACCGCTCGTAAAGATAAACCCCACGTTACCTCGATACAACAGAAAGAACAGAGATATGAGTGAGCACAAAAATACAGTAAGACGGTGCATAACCTCGGCACTTTGCTGCCACGCAACCATCACAGGTCGCGGGTGGGTTGGGTATACGGTCGCTTGCCCTCAAGCAGATTCGAACCGGTGACCTCCAGATTACAAACCAGGCGTGTAATGCTTACATCCATAGTCAAACAGAACATCAAACGAGACATCGTGTGCACTTACCTGGCAAGGACGCAGCCGAGTAGACAGATACGGAAAGTCTACACCTTTGTTAATATGTCGTAATTTTACAGTTAAGGGGAATGTTACAAGGCGGAGCCGACGAACCCACTGAGCGCAAAATAACCGAACCTGCACTTGGACTGTCATCAAGCGCAATTAAGTGATCGAAGATTTTATGGCACGTGTCAGTGCGGTACTGTAAGGTTTCACTAATCGCGCTGTGCGACAGTCTGTAGAATCAGAGTAGAGCGTATGACAATGCGGAGCAGCCGACGCCATTGAATTAATCCGAAAAAATGATTACTGGGATAACCGTGTCCACAAAAGGTTGCTCTGCTGCCAACAAACTGAGTAATGCCAGTGATGGGAGATGGATAGTTTGTCGAGAGTGTCCAGTTACGTTGGCCAAGCCATGTTCTTCGTATGGCTGCCAATCATGTAAGGCGGTCTATGTCGTTCGTTTTTGACACGTATTATCGAGCGAAGCCACTTAAGAGAATCACTCAAAGAAGTGAAAAGAGCAGAGTAATATCTGAAGGACCGAATCGCCGCGGAGAGTGAAGTCTCGTTGGATGGACTTTCTGGGTGTGATCAAGCAGATGGCTAATGTCACCCTTAAGCAAGAGATAATCAAACAGTTGATGTTACTGTAGTAAACAATCTTGGCACTAAATCGTCACACAGCCCATCAAATGATTACGACATTTTCAGCGAGGCTGATCCGGTCATATACGTTTTTAAAACCAAACTGGACGTTCTTCGAGTGAAACCGGACGTTTATAAACAAAACTAGACACAGTTAATTTTTTAAGCAGATCATCGGTAACTTACTACAAAGGAAGAAAATATCAGTGGTAAAGACAGTCAGCTGACAAAGTGCTATCCTGCTGCGTTGCCACACCGACGCTCCCTTGATTCACCACACAGCCCGCCGCTGCTGATGGTGTCAAGTCCATCAGTATCGTTTGGAACACGTTTGCTGCAGGACTTAGCAAGTAAAAGTAAAGTGACTGGACGGTGTTTAAATCATAATACGATCAGGCTAATGAAACCCGAACAGTTTGAGCAGTGGGCGATAAAGCAAAGACTTTCCCTGATCATAAGCGTCGTCCATCTAGATGAAAGGGGTAACCCAGCTGCCCCTCGTCTCTGTAACAACCTCCGTGTATTCTGCGTGTGTAGGAAGTCAGATTCCAGATGGCGGAGTCAACTTCAATCTGCGACGGATGCAGTCGCTCAAGAAAAAGAAGGGGCGCGAGCGTGATCTAGTCTGCAGCCAGAGGCCGTGTGGTGACGCTGATGGCGGCAAAGAACAACCAAGGCATCGTTCACTTAAGGATAATCAAAAGAAAACATGCAATGATGCAACGTTCTCGATGTTCGTCGAAGGGCTTGTGGTGCGTGTACGCTGCAGAGTGGAGACGAACAGTGTGTAATTGATTGTGGAGACCGCCAGAATCCGTATGTCGAACGATCTAAGGTTCTTGCTAGCAGCTGGAGTTTCTGTCTCTTACACGCTAAAAAGATTAAAAATCGTGTTTTCGTTTGCTGTATCGCTTCTTTCGAGATGCGCCTTCTTGTGGTTCATCGTTTATTTTGGTAGGCTCATGAAGCATTAGGCTAAAAGCTAGACAAAGGTTTGGTGGAGTCATAACAGACTACACTGCTTTCATAGTGGCGTAAATGCACAGGTTAACACACACACACACACAATACGCGAAGGCTGATGGCAGATAGGGGAAAACTAGGTCATTGCTTTTGATCGAGTGAAACGACCCTCATAACCAAGAGGACTTGCATCAGCGTCCACTGCAATCACAATTCGGACTGCACTAGCTTAACAGCAACATGCCCTGAAAATGCTTCCTGCTTCCAACGCGTACTATCCCACAAGAAAGGATCGCGCAGATGTAAAGGTACTACAATGAACGACACAAAACCCAAGGACGAAGATTTTGCCTAAGACAATGTGTTTTGCTCAGAGATTAACAAATGGGGAGACCTCAGTGGGCGATAGCATCGATCTAGAAGAGGTGGTCGAGTAATCTATGAAGTCAGACTGGGTATTTTGATTTTGATCACGCATGATAATCAGCTGCGACTAACTAGCATCCCGACAGGCATAAGTAATCGACTTCTACCGCTAGATAAACTACTTGACAGTTTCGATATGCCATCAAATACTCAGAACGCTTCGGATGCACTCAGCATAGAAGTTTCAGAAAGGCCGAACATGCAACCACGACGCTGGACTGATCCAGTACAGAGAATCATCATCAGAATGCGATTGGATCCAATAAGTCGTTTATTATTTTCCCAGAGGTGTGGAGGAAAGCTGTCAATAGTAGGCTTCGGAGCCGGTCCTCTCGCTAGCAACCCGAACGCTGACGCAATCTGAGGCTTACCGGCCAGCCAATGAGAATGTTTCACCTTGGTGGTTACCAATGGGGATGATCTACTTGAAGCCAGCCAGTGAGTGCATTATTTCGGCAACCAAGAAGTGCATAAGCAGGCATCTAGTAGTTGTTGGAAATCAGAAACTTTCAGCTAGATCATTCTCTTATGAACTATTTAATTGACCCACTACTTGCTTGTATATACTGCTTGTAGGGTGTTAAATACAGTTTTTGTCAGAGACCACTGTCTGCTGGTGTAGGAAGTCGGCTGGTCTAGATTGCGCAGTAGCAGCAGGTTATCCGTACAGTCAGCGGAAACCCCAATAATGTCAGACAAAACATCTGGACGCCGCTAGTTTTTGGCGATAAATAACCAGAACATCGTTCATTCAAAGATAACCAACGATGACACCTGCAGTGGTGCAAAATTCCCAACGTAGGTCGAAGAGTTTGAGGTGCGTATAAGCTGTGGAGTGGAGATGAGAAGATGAGAAAAATTACGCCAGAGTCCAAATGCCGTACGAACTAAAGAGGATTCAAGGTTCGCCCTATCAGCTAAATCCTCTGTCACCTTACACCTTCATGCAAATTAGGCAGAAGACGTGTTTTTGAATATGAAGACGTCGGACAGAAGCCTGATGACCAACCGGAAATCACTCAAAAGAGCGCCGGGATGGCAACGTAATAGGACTGTACGAAGTGTGCCTTGAACATAAGGATGAACCTTGCAAACCCAACACCGGGAGCAGCCTCTTAACAACCAAATGTTTTCAACGTTATTTTCTTCCTTGCTAGTAGATTGCCAACGACCTACGCAAAATATCTGTATCCAAATTTATTTTTAAAAAACATCCAGTTTAAAGTGAGATTATATCTATTGTGCCATGGGCTTATTGTCACTGAGTACGGTCGTTGCGTTGTTGAGAGTAAACGTGACAGTGAGGACCGCACGTTATTACCCGGAAAACGGTGCACTGCTTATCCGGACAACCGCTGCAAGTCCACAGACATCAAGCATCCACTTAGCACTGGCGACACGATCAAGCACGACCAGAAGGGCAGGAAAACATTTACAAATCCTATAAACACAGCTAAACACGTCTACATGCACACTCATTCATTCAGCATATACAACAATCCCATTGTTCTATTGTACCTAAACTGAGCACATTTTGTTCTCGTAACATGGTCGTGCCTGTGTAGTCGAGAATAATTTTATTTATTTATTTAAATGGACGCAAACAGATAGGAATATTTTTCATGTGTAACAGAATTGGTGGAACTGTAGAACGGTGTATTACGTTTCTAGTGAGCAGTTTGAGTTAATAGTTTCAACAGGCGGTTTCAGTCTAAGAATCATAGTACCTTCTGTCAGAAACACGGGGGTCCCTGAGATAGTTTACGACTGAGCGACGTGAAGTTAGCCACGAAGTGGAATAATCAATCCAACTTGTTGGTACCACGCGAGTCACGAAATCACAAGAGGCTTGAGCTATTCAAAACCATGGTAAGGCATATTCTGGAGTAATTTATCAAAATTCAACAGCCAATTAAATAAGAAAGATATAACTTGTGGAAAATGTCCAATGATTATTTACTAAGCTATTCTTTGGACACACTTTAAGTTATCATGATCATTGTCGTCATCTCCAACTGGATCAGCTTTGGTCGTGATTGATGAAGAGTAATATACTCATCATCAATATTCTAAATAAGCAGGCCTTCACAAGAAGTATCACTCGTAAGTTGCAGAAAATAACTAACTATCCCATTCATAATCAGCGCTACTTACTAGCAGCACAGCCTTCAAGTCATACAATCCTATCCCATCTGTGGAACCAGTTCCCAGTGCAAGTACACACGTGTGCAAATCTCTCCACGTTCCGAACAACTCCATAAACGCTTCTCACTTCACCGACTGTGTCAAAGCCACACTTGGCTCGCACAAATTTCCAGAAATATCGACGAAATCTAACACAGACAACACAATCAGAACAACGAGAAGCCAATATTCAACTTATTCTTCCCTAACCATTACCCATAAAGTGGGACTTGTGCCTGTGCCGCCTACTCCATATCACTGTTAAATACGGCCGAATTACGCTAGAAAGCGAAATTACAAAATAGTGGCTCAATCATTCGTACCAAATGAATGTGTTATGGTCGATCGGGTCGCAGATCCGCGAAACAAGAAGCATATTCAGTATGCTAAACAGGTGGAGTCGAAAATGCATGATGTGAAATTTGGAAATGTTTTGTCGCACGGAAAGTATAGCACCACTTTAGTGTACAAATGGTAGCTCGACCTTTGGTATCGCATATCTTGTTGGGCAACGTATAAATTTATTGTGTGTAAAACTGCGAAAGTATACAGCAGACGGAAAAACATCCGCCGTGTCGTTAGCCATCAATTCTCGTATGTGGGATGAGCAAGATACAAGAATGGTGACACCATCTAATACTAGAAACACATTTAGAATCTCTCAACTGATATCTCGATTCATTGATGCAGCAGTAATCGGATGCTATTCAAATATGGTCAACATTAGCAATCCGAAGTAACATGTGACATTCACGGAACGGAATTTTGCCTTTTTCCCGTATATTTTGTCTTTAGCTAAATGCTACAACAGCCTAGCAGTTGTGTGCATGTAATCAAGCTGAAGAAAGTATATGGGTGATGAAAACTGCTGGTTAGTGAATGGTGTCCATAGTAGTCTCAACGGCAAACCTAATGCTCTTATAGATGCGTTCTTAGAGGAACTAAGCACATAACTGCGTATTTCACAAAGGTTAAATCCAGTTGTAGTTGCCAAGTCTATGTGGTTGATCTAACCCATACTTAAGTTTAGGCTTAGTCTGGACGCGTACGGTAAGTATATGCCGAACACAGACACTCCTAGTGGCTGGTAAGTATGTGTCCGGACTCTTATCAGGCCTTGATTCGAACCGAATTTTTTGACTCTTGCAGAAATAAATGCAATCCCCATGACTAAAGGCCGAGTTCTTACAGCCCATAGAAGTGAGGGATTACTAATGTACTCCGCGTTCGGTTTGATGTCGGGTTGCAATGGAGTAGTGCTGTGTTATCGCGAGTTGTCCCGGACCTTTTAAAAACGGCAATGGTGTCGAGTACGTATCTCCGGAAGAGTCGGTATATCTAATAGAATGTCGAAGATGAATCGCTGTTGACACATGGTCTAATGCAACTAGATGGACTCTCCGGTAGAGAATAGAAAGGCACATACGAGTTCACCGATAAATCAAGTGAATTCAGACACTTCGGGAATAAGACGGTCAAGATCTGTAGACAGCCTCTGCAAGTCACCCCAAACAACTAGTGTTGCTGGCCACAGGAAATCGATTGTCAGTGGGGCAATCACGTACAGCACCAACATCCTAATTACCCATAAGGAAAATGGTCTACTAGCTCGGATGGCGTAGATCGGGCTACAAATCTACGACTTATAGACCGCTGGTGAATATAAGGTTCGCGGCACTTACCTTCGGCTGTCATTGTTGTGCTGCCAAAAGCGATCCCTTGGTGCGCCATATAAATATGCTGAGCAGGAGCTCGGTGACAAACTGACTCATCTACTTGAACAGATACGGGAGGAGAATGCCCCAACCAAGGAGAGTAAATCGATCATAGTCGTAGTATTCAAGAGAGACATTCGCAATGCTTGTGACAATCGTAGCGACATACACTTGGCAATGAGAGTGAAATGCGCTAATTTCCTCATTTAGGTGAAACAGACGGGAAAATTTTTTTATCTGATCGGGACTGTCAATATCTTATTTGTAGTCTGTTCAAATACTGAATAGCACGTCAACTGTAAATGCGTTGTTCGGTTTTAGGAGCACAGTGCACTTGTTTCATTGAGTGTACTTATCAGCGATTGCGAACTCAAAAATCTCAAGCAGCGTTAGGGTCTACGATGAAGCATCCGGCGCTTTTTCGACTACAGACCATATGTCCTATTTTCCCAGCTTACATGTATAGTCATTCTGATCTCCACCATCCGGTCTTAATATTTACAGACCCCTGACTATCGGCATCTAGTAAAAATAAGAAAATCGGCAGCTGTACGACGAAACGGCGCTACGCTGCCACGCGACTACCACCAGTCGCGCGCGGGCTGAGTATACGGCGAGGACGCCCACCCATACGCGCATGCGAACCGGTGATCTTATGGTTGTAAAGCAGGTGCACATACTACTCGGCCACTGGCCGACCTATCGGCGTCTGCGGGGTAACGATGGAATTGGGTGGAACAAACCTGTCTACGACGACGAAGTGGGTGGAAAGGAATTGGACTCAAAATGAAATACTGTTCAATAAAACAAAACACGAGAGTACCGTGGACAAGCGCTAAGTAGGGTCATTCATTGTTTACAGAGAGAGGTTTAAACTTGCGTACCCCACGCTGGATGTCTTAGAATTACAGAGGAACAATCGATTATTTGACAGATAGAAAAGCAGTTGCCGAATCGTTGAATGCACGCCGTTACCCCGTCTTGTATTCAAGATAGGGGACAATGCAACGCATAGTGCTTGGCATGGGACAATACGACGCAAGGTACGAAACTTTCACCAATGATGTGATGACTCGTTTTCCTTTCCGGTGCCCGTACAAAATCTGTATGACACTCAGGTAAATGGAAGAATGCATAGCATGAAACGGCGCAGCGAAAGCTGAAACAGAATTGCTTCACCGATGTTGCCTCAACTTTGTTGGATAGCAAGTTGCATTTGACCGTATGGTTTACGTGAATTATGGACTTCATAGTTTTCCATCATTAATTAGTGTGCTCAAGTCCAGGACGTGGTGGGTTTTCGCCTGGCAAGCGTTCTCCCTATAAAAAGCCACATATGTCCGTTTAACAACACTGTGACGTGGCGGACGTGACTCGCCACTAAATAAAGTCACTGCCCCTTGCTTCATCCTGGCGAAGCATTGTATTCCAGCAACGTCATGCTGTACTTCTGGGGAGCATTGGGCCCCTGTTTGACAAAGGAACAAACGAAAGGCGTATGAACTGAGCAATCAGTCACTGGCTCCCAATGGGCGCGATTCCCTGAATTCGCTCCGCTGCCTTGCGGGCAGGCTATTCAGCCAAAGGCTCGGGGTGGTGTCCCCTAAGTCAACACCATACTTCGGCTTGGGCAACCGGGTAGTATCTCGCCCTCTGAGGAAACCATGGACATTGTTGTGTTGTGTTTTATTTTAATATTTCTGTACCTTCGTTTGAATCCCATGGTTTCTGATGGCATTATGTCTATTCGTAGACTTTTGCAAATATATATATATATACAAGTCCACTTTCGGTTTTCCCAAATCAGCAGCATCATTTCTGTTTGTCGCTGTCTTTTGATAGTGAATGGAGAGATGCGAAAGAAATAGTAGGTTTCGCTGATTCTGGATGAATGTGAGCAGTGTTATTGAGTCACATTTTCAGAGACGTTTCGCGAAAGAAGTGAAATGCCAACTAAGAGCCCCTGTTGCATCTGTGGTAGCAGTGGATGGATACGATGGACAAGTTGCCGAAAAAGACTGCGGCACGGCTTGAAGTGATAGGTGAATGATTAGTGAATATTCCATAGTACGCGGATACTTCCCAGTGGTGTTGAGGAAGAGTTCTATAAAATCCGACTATACGGATGTGTTGCACTAAGATATTCACACTGTAAAAGTGCTCTGAAGAAGTAATATGCAGAAGAATGATGGTACGCCACCCCAAAATTTCGTTCAAATAACAATAGTGCAAAGATGATGGTGCTGGTACAAGATGAGAATGAAAGAAAAGCAACGTGCCGAAATTGTGTGGAAGAAAAAGCCTGATTTTCGGTGGAGCTTACCAAGTTCTCGACGTATGCAGTCCTTCAAACGTTTAAGGCAAGCGTAAGCAGGAGGTTTGGTAATCTGACCTAAACGCAACTGATTCCCGATACGTTTCCAGTCAGGTAGATCGCAAGAAAGGGGGTGGTTGTGCTGCATAAAAAAGCTGGTAACTATCAAGCCCTCAGATGTTGCTCGCACGAAAAACCGGACGGGGCAATAAAGCAGTGATCTTGTCCTTGGAACAAAGAGGCAAAAGAATCAAATATGTGAAATGTGTACCTAGTGCGTCTGAATCCCAAGGAGGAGCTCTTCCTTTTCACATCATAATGTTGGCATCGGAAACTGATGGTATCATAAAGAAGATCATCAAGAGGGATGCGTTTTCGACAACTTCGTATAATAAAACGTGTTCTAGTATTCTATAAGAATAAGAAATTCAAGGGTACCTAACAAACCTGCTCAAATTGTCGAACGGTGTTGGTCAATTCATCGTAGTTGCTGAAAATTTTTGACCCGAAAGAGGCTTTGAATAGCTCGGAGACATCAAAATCATTTTGGACAGAATGGTCAAAATTGAGACTGCATAGATCTCCAGGAGCTGACTGAGAACAAACTGACATAGTGGCCTGAAAAAAGCAGAATATTTAAGTCTTATGGACAGCTTGCTGATCGGCTAATATAGATAGATACACAGTGCTCGTACTGTCCAGATTAAAGAAGCAAATAAAAGTGCACTACGGGGAACAAACTATAAAGCGCGCGAAGTACAAGGTTGGAGACAGAGCGGAATTGCAGAGCAATGTCTTTATAACGGGAAGGATTGGCCTTAAGGCGATTTGGTAACCATAAAGCCAGACAGGCGGAAGCAATAAGTCTTTTGTTCGCTTCCCCATTTAACTGGAACGGATTTCCGACATTTTCCATGAGTACGTGTAGTCACCAAATATGGGCTCTAGTGCACCCATGATAAGCAGTCCATTTGCAATTGTTATATAAAAAGATAATACAGAAACGACCAAAAAAATTTAGTCCCAAGCTCGCGCATGAATCGATTTCGACTGGTTCACTGATCAAGCATAGACATCACGTATAGGTTGATTCATTTCAGTTAAACAATTACAGTTCGTGAACCAGCAGACTACTGATTCCGTGTCACTATACACGCTGCTATCGCTAAAAAATCGCGAGGAAAATGGAGCGGGATGAAATAAAACATGTAGAAGACGAGTAAGAAAATATAATCACCAGATGGAAGAGAAAAGAACTAACCTATACAGACAAGGCATCGCCATGTTGTTGGCTGCACCAGGTTTGACAAGACACATAAGCTCTGGTAGGGTTAACCCAGAGACCCACGTGGTATACCTCAGTACAACCAAACATCTAGATAGATTTCGTCATGTTCCATTAAGTGACCAGTTATTGGCCATCCTGACAGTGCATCTAAGCTGGGAGGAGCCTGACAACAAAGCAAGATGTGATAAATGTCTACCTATACACTGCAACTCTCCCTACTACTCTTCTGTAATCAGTACGCGGACCGAACTGCTTATAATGCCATAAGTTAATTGGCGGCTTAAGTTTGGTAAGCTCGTCGCTTGGTGAGGGGGCTACCCTGTCCTCTGCACAGCAGTAACGTGTAAGTCAGTGGATAGTGAGTGGCGCTATATCATATCTAGTAACTTATTCACGATGGTCGTTGCCGTCTCCTGTAGCTCAGTGGTCTCAACCACGGAGTGGCAACAGTCGAGTTGCGGGTTCGAGCCCTACCAGGGTCCGATGGAATGCGCACTGCTGACGATTCCCGAAAGGATGAAACGCGCGTACAGTGCTTTTCAGGGCGCATGACGGCTGTCTGAGTGAATCTAGATGTGATGAATATCTACCTATACAATTCAACTCTCCCTACTACTCTTCCGTAAAGCAAAATTAAACAAGCGGTTGACATACAGATGAAGGAGGCGCTTGAAGCCGCATGAATGGTACAATGAGGAGTCAGAATTTGTTGACAAACACTACACAAATGACAGCAATATTACGAACCCGGTGCTCCAACTAGGTGTTGACGACGCCACAAGACAGGTAACAGGTCATAACTAGGTGCTAGCTCAAAGAGAGAACTAGAAGTCTGATGGTCTGATGGTGTGTCAAAAATGCAAACTACCACTGCCCTTGGCAGCCATCGAAAGTTATTGCATTTGATACGGGAAACGGACAGCAGGAGACCTGGCATTAGCGAGACCATACGCAACGAGAGTGGACAGCCGATCCGCAGCTTGCCAAACCGTTAGGGCGTTGGGCCGAACACTATGAGAAGCAATTCCTTCAACCAGAGTTGTCGGCTTCTACACCGGTCACTGATCGCGCTATTCAGTGGGCCGTCCCGGTGGATCAGTCTTCACCCACAGAAATCGAACATAAAATCTGACTTAAGTAATTGAATAAGGCCGCATGGGGTAAATAGAATTCCTCCAGCGTTTTTCAAATTCGGCGGACCTGTTCGAGTAAATGATTTACACGGGTTACTAGTGAGACTTTTGGAACAGGAAACTGTCGCAACAGACAGGAGCTGCTCTATTATAGTCCCGGTTTTCAAGGGAGGCTCCCGTTCGGAATGCGGCAATCATAGAGTGATCAGTCTGACCTCAATTATCTCTAGACTGTTCGCGTCTGCCGTTTGCCACAAAATGACTGGCACTGGTGAAAGCCAGATTCGTGAGGAGCAAGCAAGGTTTCGTCGAAATAGAGGCTGTATCGACACATCTTTACTTCACGTCAACTGTTGGAGCATGGTCATATTTATTGATGACCCACCGTAGTTGTGTTCCTCTAGACCAAAGGTGCCTTCGATTCGGTTGATCGATGTGTCCTTTAAAGCTGTCTGCTCAGGAAAGGTGTGCCCGAATAATACATAAACATTACCAGCGCGCTGTAGGCACATAGATCAGGCAGAGGGTTTGTGGCAAAATTTCGCCGCACTTCAGTATCTAGCGGTGTGAGACAAGGTTGCCCGCTGCCAAATTTCCACTTAAACTTCCCTATTGACGAAGTCATGCAAATAGTGTTGTCTGGACACGGCTTAAAGCTGTGGACTGGCTTCCTGGTAAGCGACTTCTTGACGTAGAGTATGCAGACAATATTGTCCTCATATGTGACGACGGCCAAACGTGCCAGACAGCACTGGACAGATTAGCACTGACTGTCAGTTGTTTTAGGCTATGCTTTGCTCCGTCGAAATGCAAAGGCCTTCTCCAAGTGGTAGGGACCTACCCACGCGCTGAGCCTCGGTGGAGATCAGCCAGAAGTCCTTCATGAATTCAAGTATCTGGACAGCTATAGTAGCACCCGTGGGATCGAAAAATGAGGTCACAAAACGTACACACACATATATATATATGTATATATATATATATATTTATTTATTTATAATCAGCAGTCTATAACATAGACATAGAGCCAGTGAAAACCATGAAACGGAAGTAAAAAATAGAGATCACAAAGAAAAGGTTACCAAAAGGTTTTTTGGTTTTTGAAGCTAGGCTCTTCTTTGTTTCTTTTTTACACGTCGTTTTATCCTTTTTGTCTGCTTAATGTTTGCAATGTAAATGAAGAAAATCAATACAAATATTTGTGCACATTTTCCACTGGGCCCGGTTTTGCGCCATCTCTGATAGAGTGTTCAGCCCGCGGAGTTTTTCATCTTTGATCCCCCAGCATGAAAGACGCACGGGGCCTACGATAGCTAAACTGGAAGTCAGCGCTTTAATCGTTTGTCGCCATGTGCTAGGCTGAACACCGCGCGATTTCTTCCAGTCTGGTCCTGTGCGAGCGAAGAGAGTGCGTCGGGGCAGCCGTTCGCATGGTATGCGTAAAACGTGGCCCAGCCATCTATCTCAGTTGGCGCAGCGGTACCAGTCTGTCAAGTGGAAGTCCCGTGTTACCCAAGACGCGACGTCTAACATCATTGTTGCGCACCTGGTTCATCTACCACACTCGAGCTATTCTCCGCAGACATCCATTGCCAAAGGCCGAAATCAGACGCAAGTCATTCACACGAATCGCCCAGGACTCACTCTCATACAGCAGCACCGCGCGAGCACAGGCATTGTAAACCCTGCCCTTTACCAATAGTGAAACGTCACGGCGTCGTCCCAGATGTCCCAAGTTGGCGAATGCCGAACGTGCTTTGGTATTGAGGAGGGGAATCTCTTTTTCAATGCTACCATTAGCGGAAACACAGCTCCCCAGGTAAACAAAGTTGTCCACTTGTTCAAGCTGCGTAGATAGAACGGTGAGCATTGCGACAGGTAGATGCCAATCCAGGAACAGGACCTTGCAATTCGTAAGGATATAGGTCATTCCACATTTTGATGCTTCAACCGCCAAGCGGTTTAGAAAAGCTTATGTGCTCTGTGTGTCATCACCATACAACGCAATATCATCAGCATAATATAAATCGGCCATGCGGTTGCCAGGAAGTAGCTCCACACCAGAACCCTGAAAGCCCTCCAGAGTGTTTAAAAGGACATCTTCGATCGCGAAAGTGAAGAGAAACAGGGGCGACGTGGGGTAAACCTGTCGTAATTCACTAGTGACGGCAAAAGGTGAGAGCTTACCATAAGCCGTCACTTTACCTGAGACATTGTAACACAATGCTCAAAAAATGGTGATATACTTCGCGGGTACTCCATTCTTTTTTAAGCAACACCATAAAGCTGACCGATTGACGGAGTCGAAAGCGGCTCGGATGTCTATTAAAACAACAATAGTGGGTTGGCGGTAAAGATGACGCGTTTCAAGGAGTTGGCGGAGCGTAAACATGTGGTCTATACACCCTCGACCGAGGTGCAGAGTAGCCTGTTCTTCAAGGGAGCGTAATCCTTGAATCAGGGTTAGTCTGCGGAGTAGAATGGGTGTTAACAGCTTGGAGGCAAGGGACATTAGACCGATTGCTCGGCGGTTAGCGCATGGTGCACGGGCACCTTTCGTGAAGATCGGGACGATAATTGACTCGCCCTTAGCGGATAGAACTGTTCGTTAACACCAGATGTTAGAGAATATAGCTGTTAGCTAGTTAACAATTACTTCGCCCCCGAACTTGAACAGCTCTGGAGAAAGTCCGTCTGCGCCAGCAGACTTGAATCACTTCAGGCGTTGGAGCTCAAGGCAGACCTCGGCTTCAGTGGGTGGTTCCAATGTGACGAAACGTATAGCAAAAACTCGAGGTGCCTTTGCCAATCTTTGTCATCTGTGGCGCCGACGCGAAGTCACTCACGCCCTAAAGGGCAGGGTTTACTATGCAGCCGTCCGCTGAACCCACGTGCAGGATAGTGGAACCTACCACATCAGGTCAACAGGCACGTTCGATCATCGCCACCTCCGCGCCTTAGCTCATGTCTGGTGGGATCACCACGTGAGCAATGAATGTGTTCGGCACCGCGCAGCTGGTTCAGGAAGAGCGGGTGATCAGCTCAGCAACCTTATATCAAGTACCAGGCTCAGGTGGCTGAGCCACATGTTGCGCATGCCAGCCCAGCGACTCTCGCGACGCGCGTTGTTTGCGCGCCCGGGGTTTAGATGGAAGAGAAGGAGAGGGAGGCCAAGCAATAACTTAGTCAAC